AGCACAAGCGCACTGCTCTCACCCACTAGGCCGACACTCCCCCCTTACGCACACGCTTATACCTAAGGATTGATTTGAGTTTGTATATATAGCAGCTATTCACAACACATGTCATCTCAGGGCATTTTACAGCAACATTTTAACCAGATCATACAGTCAGACTGGTTCAAATTTTTCTATCTAAGGAAAACCAGCTGATTGCATCGACTCATTGGCTAAGTGTGCGCGGCCATCTGCCGAGGTCCACTGGGGTTCAAGGAGACAGAAGCAGACATACAGGAGGAAGCAGAGATACAAAAGGTTACTGTCAACCTGCTCCACAGGCGGCCCATCCCAGAAATTTAGACATAAAACGTTTCCATCCTAAAGAAAACACTTCCAGATCCTCTATGAATTGTGCATTACAAACAGATCAATAAAATCTTCATTACTCCAAAAAAGCAAAGAACAACAAAAAATAGATTTAAAATTACAGGGTTTTGATATAAAAAAAATACAGAGTACCTAGATAATTTCCTCAGCCTCCTGCTTCAGAGTGAGTCACAGATTATTTGAACTGAGTCATTTGACAAACTGACTCCACAAATATTTAACATACCACATAATGTTACAGTCTGTGGCTGCTGATGGCTATTGTCGTGTTTTCGTATTTTCCTATTAAACCTGACTCTACAATCTACATTGCCTGACAACCGGCATCACAAGCTTTTTGAGGTGACACTAATGTGGCTGTTGGTGATACTATGTCTTTAATTTGTTATTATTATGGTTTAATTTTACGTGTGAACTTTCTTCTTTTGTTGTAGTTTTGCTGCAACCAAAGAAACATGCACACATGCATTTGGAGCATAGGTGGAGTTTTACTTTTGCATCGGGGGGGGGGGGGGGGGGGGGGCAAAAAATGCTTTTTTTCACACGAACACGCTCTCACAAAGATGCGTGTTAAAGCTCATTACGCATGATGACACAAGGGATTAATGTTCAACACCAGTTGTTACATTACTGCATACAATACAACGTAGTGGCTAGGAGTAATCATTTGAAGAAAGTCTTACTTAGTGCAGAAGTAATTGTCTTTTTTTTGTCCTGCGAAAACGTCCACAACCATCTCAGGTGACAGCCTGGCAGTGATGTCGCGCTCGATATGAAGCACAGCAAGGGATGAAAACCGTGCAGCTGCTGTTGTTAAGTGTAGCCAGTTGCGAATCCTTTTCATTGCACAGAAACTCCTCTCGGAAGTGGCAGATCCAACGGGTAGAGTCAATTGCAGCAGCTTGTACAGATTTGGGTAAACGGCCCTTGTCACATTTTTTTGAAGATTTTCACGTGACACAGATCCAACAATAGAGGCTCTAACAAGGTCCATCTCTGCCCCAACAAGGTGGTGTTTGGTTTTCAGAGGCTGTGCATACTTTTTTACGAGAGGTTCAATTCCACTTTTATCACATCTTAAAGCTGAAGTCTGTAAGCCAGGCATCCCCAAACTCGGTCCTCGAGGGCCGCTGTCCTGCAGGTTTTAGAGGTTTCCCTGCTTTAGCACAGCTGATTATCATGATTGCAGTAGAGCTGAAGCCTGTTAATCAGCTTTCAATTAAAATCAGCTGTGCTGGAACAAGGAAACCTCTAAAACCTGCAGGACAGGGGCCCTCGAGGACCAAGTTTGGGGATGCCTGCTGTAAGCTTTTAAAAATCACTTTTTTGTCATATTGGCTAAAACTGTCCCTATGCCCAGGCAGCAGTACATGTGATATGTAACCTGTGAAAAAAACTGCTTCAATTGGCTGTATTGCAATCTGGAATGAATATTTCGGGACGAGACAAAACAACCAATCACAGCCAGAGGAGCGTCTGATGGAGTGTCAATCACAACTCACACACGCTGAATCCCACCCCCTCCCTCTCACTGCTGAACCTGCAGCTGCCGCCCGGCTGCCGCAGTCAGGAGGACGCGCGTGGAAGTCATGGCGGAGCGACAGCCACCAGCGAAAGAGAAACTGACCTTACTGCCCCTGCCGACAACTGCTTACACGGCAAACTTCGGTATAACCAGCATCTTATATCTAGCTGCTTGGAGGTGAGTGTTATCGCTCTTACCGGTTCACACTCCATGCCGCGTACGCTGCTTGGACGCTTCTGGTCGCATGCGGTAGCCGCGCAGATGCTGTGAGAGGGGTGGAGCTTGGAGGTGGGGCATGAGTGAAGCAGGGAGGGTGGGGGAGTGGCGTGAAACCTGTTTTTCTTCAAATTTTCAGTCGAAGTCTGCTCTCTTCTCAATGTAACAGACTGCAGCTTTAACACTGCTGCGCAGGCCTGTGCGAGTTCAACAGCTTCTCCTGTGAATCGTCTGTCCAGTTAGCAAATTATGGTATCCAGCACTGGGAAATACAGGTGCTGTTGGAATCCAGGGGTCTCACTCTGGGACATTTGTACAGCATTTACATAATTTTCTTCTCTGTGGCCCAAAGTCGTTATCAGGAAATTGTCGAGGGAGTTGGGGGGGGTTGTGTGGCCCATTTTCTGTGGTCCAGGACCAGCAGGTGTCCGACTCTGAATGTTCACATCCTCGGGTACGGAGACGTTGTTGTCTCGACAGAACTATTTTACTGATCCCCATACATCGTTCCATTTGTCCGTCTGTCTCTGTGACACAAATTGCGCTTTCAGGTTGTCGGTGAGCACAGCCGCTTCGGAAAGTGTGAGACTGAAGCACTGAACGTCTTTGTATGTGACATGAATCACACGTAGTATGTCTTCAAGTACAATGAGATATGTAATGAATGACAACCTGCCCATATGCTCACATAGGCCAGTGGCCTCCACTGACTATTTTTCTACCTCATCACTCATTTCTCTCAGGCACTTTGTAATCGCAGAGTAGTGTGTTTTAACGGCATGCAGACTTGCGTGCCCAGCAGGTCTGTGTAACTTAGGTTGGCTTCATATCCAGCGATTTCTGTACTTCAATAAAGCGATGGTGGTTTGCCGGCTCTGCAAATACTGAGTACAGTTTGTCGATGACATTCAGGAATGTTTTGACACTACGGTTCACCATGCAGCAGTCCACAAGCATGAGATTCAGTTTGTGAGCCAAGCAGTGTATGTATGCTGCATATGGATGCATCTCTTGAATGTGCTGCTGCACTCCAGACACTCGGCCAGACATTACAGAGGTGCCATCGTAGCTGTTGGCAACAATTGGGATATTTTTCAGTCTCCACAATCCCCGCTACATTTCCAGATGCGGAACAATCAATAAAAAAACAAAAAATGCTCCTTGATTTGAAACTGCTCTGTATATCTTAAAAAGACTGATAGCTGCTCAGTTTTGGATGACCTGGCCTCATCTGCGATTACAGCAAAAAACCCAGTGTCCTGCACTTTCTCTGCACTTTCTGCATGAACCAAATTTGCGCATATCTCAATGATTTTGTTCTGAAAATCTGGACTTGTAGCATTGAAATATTAGATTGCATACTTTGAAAGTCGAAATCATATTTCGAGAAAAATTTGCAAACCTCAAGATAATTCCCACGAGAATCTGAATCGATAGTCTCCCTGTTTCCACGAAAAAGCAATCCAAGTGCAGACAGCAATCTTACTATATCCACGACTTACAGGATGTAAACCAAGGATAGAAGACAGTAGTCAACGTTACTATGTCACATGATTGAAAAATAAATCTATAACAAAAATATACTAGGATTCATATTAATTTCACACTATATCAATACATTTTTTATATTTATATTTTGCCATTTCCTCGACTTAATGTCATTACATGTTTCAGCCACAACCTAATGCTCCTTGTAGTCAGTCAGTTCTAGGATCCTTGTAGGATTTAGATCTCATCGACACATGGAGGGCCCTTCACCCTGCAGACAAAAATTATTCATTGTATTTTAAAGTGTACAAATCCTCCTCGAGGATTGATTATTTTTTCACTGCTAGCCATGCCCTTTCTAAAATGTTTACATTCTCAATTGCTAATATTGTTATTTCAGACCATGCTCCTTTGTTTCTGGTCATGTTCACTTAAGTGTAGCACCCTCCACCACAGTAGTGTTTCAAAAATCCCATACTTCACCTCCAGATTTTATAAAATATTTTACTGAGCAGTTCAAATTCTTTTTGGGTGAGAATGATACTCCAGAAGTCTCTCCCAATGTCCCCTGGGAGAATGCTAAAGCTGTGTCTAGGGGCATTACAATATCTTGTTCTGCTCATCTCAGGCACAGGCAGCAGTCAGAATTTGGAAAAACAATTAAATTAACTTCAGAGAGAATTTGATATCAATCTTCCAGTGACTTGAGATCTCAAATTGACACAATGTACAATTGGAGACCTGGTAGCTGATGGCTTAAGTATCATTTAAATTAATTAATCAATCTGAGCTTTAATGTTGTTACATGTTTTTAGGTTCTTTTATTTTTTTCTTTTTGTAATTATAATTTTTTTTTCTTTTTCATGTCTGTACTGTCCGTACTCTATATTAATCTTTTTTGAACATATTGTTACAGGTTTTCCTGATTTAGTTTTAATTATCAATTTACTTATTTTTATTTATTTATTTTATTTTTCACCGTGTGGGTTTTTTTTTTTGTTGCTGTCGTTGTGGCGGTTTCTTTCTTCACCTTGTTATGTTTAATTAAGAAGCTTTTTTGCTTTTGGACAAAGCTTTTCCTATATAAGTTGAAAAAGGTAATAAAGATATGTTTTAAAAAAAATATTTTCAGGCGAAGTAATTAATCAATATGGCATATACTATATGCATTTTTTTATTTTTAGAATTATCAGAACAAAACCATGAACCTGTAGGTTCAATTAAAGCCACCAATTTAAATGATCAGCAATTAATTACTCTCTATGGCTTTTAAAATGTCCATTTTAAATTTCCATCAGGAAATTCTTCACTCCTTGTTGAACAACATACAGCTTGTATTTAGTAGAAATGTTAATTTTATTTTCGCAATTAAATGTATGTGATTTTCTTTTTCTTTTAGAAATGTAAATTTAGTGGGGATGAACAGAAAAGACTTATTAGCTACATACGGAAACTTACTGGATGCAACCCACTGGCTCAGAGTTTGTATCAGTTACTCTGTAAGAATGAACGCATATCCAGAAATCAAAAGGTAAAAAAAAAAATTTATTCAGAATTTTCTTGACATTAAAAGTATGTTGTTAAGACTTTTTTTCATTTCATTTAGATTGCTACAGTTGAAGGACTCTACATGCTGTTTAGAGAGCTGTTGCCCGCTGTTGGAGCAAAACAAGGTGGAAAGATCATTGATGATCAAGATGTCTTTGAACACTCAACATACTGCTGGGCATATCTTCTGTCTGAAGCAAAGGTAACTGAAAATATACATTAAAGATTTAGACACAATCAAAGTTTGGATATTTGATTATAAATGTTATTTAGAATACAATGTCACTGGAGGTAAACATCTTCAAAGGTTTGCTTCAAACATTCTTTTCATGACTTGTGTCTTTAGTATTCTTAAATTGGTACAAGGTTCCCTGGATTACTAGAGGAAAAAAAGGAACAACTCTGATGTTACAGGTTTTCTGGAAACATATAATTTTTATTTATTACCGTATGAATATGCAAACTTTAAATTTTGTGTTAAACGCCCTGTTCTCTTTGAATGCAAAGAAATCTGTGAAAAAATATGATTTCCTGTTTCCTGCATGTGTGTCTTTATTTATTTTTTTATACAGAAACAGACAGCAGAGCATGAGAACTTTGCACCATATGCTTTGAACAGCGAGGATTGCAGCCGTTTCCGTGAGCCTGTCATAGTGCCTGGGGTACCAAATGCTATGGAAAGAGCAAATGTTCTAAAAAAAATAGAAGGCAAGTGATTTTTATTTTACACTGATATATTTTCTTTAACTACATTAGCTTATTTTACAAGTAAAAGAACTATGTAAGTAAATAAATGCAAGGAAGCAAATAATTCTACAAATAAATATAAAAAATTTGACATGATAACATTGCATTTTGGTTGTAGACATACACTTCCCTGTAATCCCTGATTTAGATTTTTTTTGGTTGTTTCTAAATGTTCGTATTTCATAATGACATCATCTGCTTCTTGCCCCTTCTGGGTAAAGATATGGTAGAAAAAGAGGTAATTTCCAAATACTGGTTGGGGAGATGATCGGCTTAAACTGTATTGTTGAGATCCAGTAGACTGTGTGAGTTGAGACTAGTGCTTCACTCGGGACCCGGAAGATAGATGTCAAGCTTGGATAAACATCGCTTTGTATGAACCTGTCCATGATGAGCAAGCATGAACCGACAGTAGAGAGGTAAAACTCCTCTTTGGGAAGAAACCTCTGGCAGAACCAGGCTCAACATGGCGGTCTTCTGCCAGACCGGTTGAGATGTGACAGGGAATGCAGTAAAAGTCCAGAAGAATGACACTCTGATTAGGATGAGGTTGAAGAAGCACCATGGAAAAGCTAGACAGAGCTTAGCTACGGTGATCAAGAGGGGTATGGAGTTGGGTTGAATCGGGGTCATCTGAATCAAAATCACACATAGCGCAATAAATGCAAGACCTTTTGAAATGAACTCTGGATGCTGATTGGGCTTTGTGGAGATGCGGTTGAAAGCTGAGATGGGTACATGGTGCCAAAGCGCCGGCCGCAATGCTGTGATCAGCCAGATCTAGTGCAGAGATTGAGATAGAAACAATGCACTGTGGTAATGCCTGAGACTATGCTGGTGGTAAGACTTGGCACGATAAGGACGATCTGTAAAAATAGAAGCAGAGATTATTAGAATGCAGTGTGCCCCATGATCACTAATTGGATGACAGATGCAGCAGTAACATGATTAGCTTTGTACAGGCTCATGAAAACTCAAATCTTTCCATGACGAGGTGGCCAAATGGGCATTTTTAGTGTACAGCAGTGATTGGTGCAGATGGGAATTAACGTGGGCACTGCATTCCACCATTAGCATGTATGCGTGAATATCTGGATCTAAATGGCTGTGGCGTAAATGCATGTGTGCTTATGTACTATACAAATGGTTTACAAAGCTCCTTCATAAGGAGGATATCCCTTAAGGACTGGTGTGAGTGGCCCCAGATCCACTCTGCAAAGCCCCAGGCAGACTCAGAGGAGACCAGAGCCCCAAAAATCTAAAGGCATCCCAGACTGCAGAGACACAGAAGAGCAGATATAAGAATGGTTACATCCACCCAATATGGGCAGGAAAGGGCCCCTGGGGCAAAAATAAATCTGACATATTTGTGTTAAAGAACCAGAGCATGAACGATGCCTTTTAACCCCAAAAAATATTAATGAAATTATGGTCATTGTTTAATATTTTGCAGATGGAGACCAGATTCCAAACTGCACTGAGGACAATTTGCAAATAACTTCACTTGTGAGAGCCACTGACATTGAGAAAATTCTGCTCAGTGTTCATCCTTCAGTAACAACTTACCATCTTTGGATTTCCCATGGCAGTGTGACTGGACAGAAGTATGTAGTATTTGCTAATGAACATTTATGTTAAATCTAGAAACTGCATTTGGATAATGCCAATCAATCTCAAAATTGAAAATTAAGCTGCCTTCTTAGTGAGATATGGCTTTTTATTCAAGCTTTAACATAAATACTGGGAAGACTTTTGGAAGCTTGGCAGAAGACCTGAAGGCTTTCCCACAACTCCATGTCACCCCACCAATGCGTCTGAAGGATATAGGACTTGACGATCCATGTCTTGTTTTTCTGAGTAAAGGTAACACATACATTGTAAGATAAATTTATTGTGAGTGTGGAAATTGGCTTGTTTTACAAGCTTCTGATTTAGCTTCTGTATTTCAATTTAGCCCCTAATTATGAACTGTTAAAATGCTGTCACTAATGGTTATTCAAGGCTGTTCATCTCCCTATTTTCCATTTACAGAAAATCTTGGTGTTTATCACAATAAAAATAAGAGAGAACCAGGAACAATTGATGTTTATGACTGTATGACTGGCAAGTCTAAAACTCTGGATGTGAATGAGCTGGCAGCTAAGTAAGTACTATGTAGTCAATACACGAAGACACCAAACAATTTTTAAATAGTTACTAAATTAAGTTTTTCCTATGCAAGCATTATAAACATTTCAGCTTTTAAATACAACATAATTATACTTATAGAAAGAGAACCTTCAGAAGGCTCACAAAAAAGATCCAATTTGCATTTAATCTAGTTCAGAAATTAAGTTACCTAGTTAAGTTCATTAATGTTGTTGTGTGTTGTTCCCTTTTGACCAATAGATATTATTACTTATGCACTTATATCTGCTTATACCTTATTACTTGTTTATACTTGTTCTTTGAATATTCCTTAAGAGCATCTTTCTGTCAGATGTTTCAGTAACTGTCTTTAAATGTATCACAACATTTATAATAATATAACCACTTAGTTCACCAGTAAACTACTCTTTGTGTAATCTAGTGAAGGTAATATTCTGAATCATCTTTATTAGTGAGCCTTTGTACTGAATCAGGAACTCTGTGACTGAGGTCTCAAATTTATTTTGATCTCTATATTGAAAAGTTGAATGAATGAAAGAAAAAATATAATTAAATAAAATACCTAAAATAAAAATGTTTTCTGAGTAAACACAAACAAATTTTTTTTAAATACAGAATTGGTGACCAAAGAGATGACCAATCCATTATCACAACCAGGAATCCGAAGGAGGCTATACAGGTATTTTTAATTCGTACCGGTATATGACTACTATACTGAATTTAGAAGGGACAGGGTTGGTAGCGTGACTATAGGACTGGATCAGAATAGAGCAGTAATCTGATCAAAACCATTCAAATTTTTGATAGTTATCCTTAACTTGTAAAGTTGTAATTCTGAAGAGAAACACAATTATGCTGGATAGTTTTTGTATTAGAAAAACTTGGTAATTGTAATGAGTGTGTAGACTTTTTGAGCCACAGCTCTTTGAAGCTTGTGGTTGTAACATGGCAAAATTCAGAAAATAAACGATAATTTGCGAGGTACAGTAGGCAAAATATATATCCCTCATAATATTCTCAAAATTCCAGAATTGTCCTGAAAGTAGCTCTGCTAGCTTGCCTCTAAAATTCTTTCTTAAGAGAACATGAATTCCTAAATTTTTGCATAAGAGTTTCTTTTTTTCTGAAGTTTTTCACCTCTATTCTTGATACGGTGAAACTGTAGTGATTTTCACTGATATTTTTGTCCTTTTTGGGTACTTGTTATGATGCATAACCACGGCAACCATAGTAAGTTGATTTTTACACCTGGGAGAAGCTCTTTAACGTCTCTAAAGTTGAAATAAATTTTCAACTACTTCTGAAAGTACTGGCTGAGTTTAAAAGGGGGTTTGGGGGATGCAGAGCTGAGCAAGGAGAACAGAGAGGAAGAAGAAATATAAACTATCTCTTCCATCTATCATCATGAGATGTTAGAGAAAAAAAATGCCAGAACTCCATGTCCTTGCAAGGACCCAGCCAGAACATTGGCAAAGCACCATTATATGTTTTACTGAAAGGTGCCTTCAGGAACATACCTTGGACTACAACGTCTCTCTGACAGGCTTTCTGACTGTACGAGCAGACAGAGACTTAAAGGAGACTAAGAATTTCTAAGGAGGTGGGTTGGCAGTGTTTGTGAACAACAATGTCAGCAATGGTGTCAAGATACTGTGAAGATTCGTCACCGCAGCCCAGATGTTGAACTGCTGGCAATTGGTGTTTGGCCATATTATTTGCGAAAAGAGTTCAAGAGTGTTATGATAGTATCAGTTTAAATTCCAAGTTCTGATGACAAATAAGAGTCCAACTCAGGACTAGCATGGTACCTAACAAAGTGGCCAATAATTATATATTTCTCATACATCTTCCTTGTCTCTTTGAATCCTCAGTTGGCCTCAGCAGAGGGTTTCTCATTCTGGTTCTGCTGAAGGTTTCTTCTTGTTAAATGGGAGTTCTTCCCCTCAACTCTTGCTGCATGTGTGTGGGGTCTGAGGGATTGTTGTAGAGTCAATAAACCAATGAAAGTGAATGTCATCTTTCTCTACCTGCTACTTCAGGAGGAGCATATCCTTCAAAGTCAATGACTCCATTAGGGCTGCAACTTACCATCATTTTGCAAATCTATTAATCTGTCTATTATTTTTTTGATGAATCAATTAATAATAAGGAAGAATTTTTGAAAATTGAAACCAGGTGAAACTAAAACTTGTCCACTTGAGGAGTTCAGGATACAGCATATTGAAATAAAAAAGTTTTTTTCACTTAGAAGCAACATATATATATATATATATATATATATATATATATATATATATATATATATATATATATATATATATATATATATATATATATATATATATATATATATATATATGTGTATATATATTTAACAATTTTGGGTTAGTCAGCTAAAGACATGTTTTAAAGTCTTTATCCTCCAGTTAACTATTAATCTATAAATAAAACAGTTGACGATTATTTCAATAATCAATTAATCACGATTAATCTAATTAATTGTTTTAATATATATTTAAATGCAGAATACTGGAGATAGACGCCAGTCTTCCATGACCTTGGGGGGACAACCAAAAGAGTGAGGAAGGATAAATGGATCTAGTAAAGTTTGTTAATGGATCCTTATTGTATAAGTAGAAATCCCTTACACTAATACAAAATTACAAAAATAATTTGTTGTTCAGACAATGTAAAGGTATAGTGGATGATCTTCTTTCAACTTCAAGTCCCTGGGGGATAAGCTAAGTGTATCTATTTGGATACCTTACACCAGTGTGCATGGTTTTTCTCGCTTCACATGCACACATCTAATGTTTACATATTCAGTAATCTTTCATGTATGCAACCTACATAATGTAAATATCATGTTTCATTAAGTTAATGAAATAGACAACACATCAGCTGTAAAATTTAACAAGTATGCTAATTATATATTTTGTTTCCCCAGATTCTGATAGACACAAGCTCATCAATGAAAGAAACTTGCTATGGAAGTGTGGACATTCAAAAAATTCATGCTGTAGCAGAACTTTTTGACAATTTTGCATCGCGAACCATGGCTTATGATTTTCATCACATCATTGGCCTTGTGACATTTTCCACAACTGTCAAAACAGTACACACATTCACAGAAACACTTGAAAAGTTTAAGGTAAGTCTTTTAACTTATCTTAATGAAGCATATCTAATTTAGGTGTGAAATTTAAATTATTTTTTAAAATTAACTTAGGCCCCGTCCACACGAAGTCAAAACGAACACGAAACGCTGATATTTTCCAAAACGTTTGCCGTAAAGACGGAGACGTAAAATAAATGTGAGCGTCCACACGAATGCATGAAAACGCTGCAAAATGTATGCCAGGCCTGTAAGTGGCGCTGTGGTGCCAAAGCAAAAATAAGTGACGAAATGTTGGGCATGCGCACTAATATTTATACATGGTTGCCCTGCGGGTCCATTTTCGTGGTTAAGTCAAATTCAGGTGCTGAACTATGTCGTCGATATTGCTCTGTTCTTCCTGGAGATATTCCAGAAGAAGAAGATTCTGTTGTAAGCCCGACAGCAGGGTGAGTAGCATTAGCAGCAACCATTCAACACAGTACGGCGCCATTGTTGTTGTGATATTGGTCGTGCATGCGTGTTTAGAGGCAACGCTATGACGCATGCGTGTAAAAAAAATATGCGGTTAGAGCGTAAAGATGGAAACGCGAAAACGGCGTATCGAAATCTTCCCACTCTGAAGGCTGAATAAAAAAAAGATCGTTTACAGACCCCCGAAACGCCGGCTTCGTGTGGATGAGAGGCTGGTTTGGTGAAAAATTTGTGCGTTTAGGCCAGGGTTCGTCTTCGTGTGGACGGGGCCTTAGACTGCCAAGTCTGTTTTTATCAAACTTAAGCCCAATCTCTTTCCTACCTCCTCTTCACATTGGGTTGAAGCTAAAACAACTTAGTTATGCTTGGCTTATCCCCCTCAATACTCCTTCACTCTGAATGTGTATTGTATGTTTCTTCAGTCCACGAACACACTGCTGCATCCTGTCAGTTACTAACCCTTCTCACTATATATCAAGCAGTTGATTTTATATATGTGACTCATCTGCTGTCTACCTTTCTTCAGAACTCCCAAAACTTTCCTGAGAAATATATGAAACTGGTCACTTACACTTAATGTTTTATATAATCACATACTGTTATGTTTTATATAATTACATACATACTCATGTTAGTGATTCGAAACATTATATCTCATTACTTGGTGACTGACCCAAACATATACTGTAAAAGAGAACCAGTTTATTGACTTTATCTTATTTGTAAATACTATTCCGATGGCTTTTTTCTCTATAAACGAAAGAAGACGTTAATTAAAGTTTCCTATTAAATTTGTGTTTGTGGCCTGGCACAGGATCCCCATGGTTGGTCTTTCATTTCCATCAAGATGAATATTACACTAACCAGCTTATTTATAAATCATTCAATTCCCCATTCTCTGTCTTACAGAGGTAGCACATCACTTTCTCATTTCACAGGTTTTCTTTTCTGTTCACAACTCTCACCAAAGGCCTCATGATATAAGCTCTTTGTTCTTTAATTATAATGTTCTAACATATTTTTGAATGAAAACATGGACATACCTCACCTTTAACTGAAAAGCCATAGTTTTCTAGAAATGTTTTTGTAACATTATCTATTGTTGTTGATGGCATTTTGAGGATTTTTGATGCCATCTTCTCCATCAATCATAATGGGCAATGAAAGATCTTCAGAATACAGTTTAGATGAACTTTTAGTCCCAACAAGGACCTAGCCAGAATATTGGCAATGCAACACCTGCCTAAATCATACTAACTGACAAACAAACAACAGCTTATGAAACTGTGAAACACTCTACAAGAAGGAACAGGGAAAACTGTGTTGCTTAAGGATGCTCAGTGTAAGCAGCTAGGTGCTGTATATCATCTATCATTCTGTTGAGAAGTGTTACCTTCTCTGCCATATAGACAACCCCTCTTCGGACTCTTGTTGAAAATAGAGTGTCCTCATTTAAATGGTTTGTAATAATCCCTGTGAGAACTATCACTACAGGAGATCCAGACTACAATACAGCCATCAACATCTGCAAAAACTCTTTATAGTTATAATACATTATACTGAAATTAAGCTTGAGATGAACATAACCAATTATCTGTTTGTTTAGGAGCATATTCGTAATCTCAAACCATCTGGACGAACTTTGTTGTATGATGCTTTGGAACATGGAAGGCTGGAGCTGGAAGAAGTAAAAAAGAAGTTTCCAGAATGTAGACTTCGCATTCTGTGCCTCACAGATGGAAATGATGTTGGGTAAACATACACACACAAATGCAATAAAGGAAAAGGGGATCATTTCTAGCCACAAAGAAGGGAAAATCCTAACTTGATTCCTCACAACAGTATTTCTCACTAATCAAGACCAAGAACCCCTAGTGACACAGGAAGCCTTTAAAGTTGATTTGAATTAATTTGCTAATTATAGTATAACAACATACTTATGCAACAGTTTCTAGGTTTTGGAGATTCCTGATTATAGGGTCTTTGTCAGCTGTAATCCCTAATCATCAAATGCAACCAAGGGCTGAGAGAAAAAGCTTTTAAATTGCCTTTATAGTTTCCTTCCATTCTTAAACTTTAGATGCAGATACGCTTACTCTATATATTCAATATTGATTTTAGAACAAAAACTTTAATGGAGTGAATGGGGCATTACCATCATGGTCTAGTTTAAAGGTGAGTTGCGGTGAATAAGAATAATATTCAATTCAAACATATATGATTTATAAATTATAGTGTGTTTTTGAAAAAAAAAATTAGTTAAGCTGTATGCAATGAAAGAAGTAAAGAAACTACTGTTTTTGCAGAGTTTACAGTGAGGGCGGAGTTACTTGAACACAGTTCTTTAGGGATTGTTTCTTCATGTCTGCCAGATGGTCTATTTGTTAGTCAAAATCACATATCAGTTCACTGTGGGAAAGTTGCACAGCAAGACATATGTCATGCATAAGGAGGAGCAGCTCTGCCATATTTAAAAATAAATACAGATTTATTTTTATTCGCCTTTGTAATAATTACCTTCTTTATTTATTGTCATTATAATCTTCAACTTTATTTTATTAATTAATTTTTCTTTAAGCATAACCAACCAATGGGCAGAAGTTGACCCTCCAAGACACAGCCCTTCCTCATTTGCACAATGAGGCAGAAATGCAAACAGAAATGTAAATACGACAGGCAGAAAGAAATAGCATGGAAGAAATAAATAGGGTAAAAAAATACAAAGTAAGAATAAAACAGACAAAAATATTATAACAAGCAAATAAATAAATAAGATAACTATTTAATTAATTACAATGGTGAATAAATAAAGAAGCTAATTAAGAGATATATACATTTATGTCTCACCGTATAATTTAATTTCTACCTTGATTTATATATTAATTATATTTTTGGGGGCATTTAATTGTATTCTTATTTATTTATGTATTATTTATTTCTGTATTTATTTTTTTAATATGATAGAGCTGGTCCTCGATACATGCATGATGTCTTTAATATCTGTCTGTCTGTCTGTCTGTCTGTCTGTCTGTCTGTCTGTCTGTCTGTCTGTCTGTCTGTCTGTCTGTCTGTCTGTCTGTCTGTCTGTCTATCTATCTATCTATCTATCTATCTATCTATCTATCTATCTGTTTTTAAACAGATCCACCAAACTTCCTGCTGAGGTTGCAGAAAACTTAATAAAATCCAACATAACAGTGGATTCAATTCTTCTTGGAAATGTGGCAAATAACATGCTGCATGGAACCAGTATCGCAACAGGTAATTTTATAGATAAATATTTGTACTTATACCTATAATTCAACTGTATGTAGTATTTCAGTTTTGCTAACATGTTTCCTCTGAGTAAAAATAATCTAACCTTTTGGAGCTGACTTATCAACATTATCATATATATATATATATATATACACACATATATATATATACATATATATATATATATATATATATATATATATATACATATATATATATATATATATATATATATATATATATATATATATATACACACATATATATATATATATATATTAGTGCTGTCAATCGATAAAATTTTTTAAATCATGATTAATCGCATCAATGCCTGAGTTAACTCGCGATTAATCGCATTTTAATCGCAAATTTTTTTTCTGATTGAAAATCATTTAAATACTCTCGATGACATACAAAAAATACATACAGGCTAGGTTTGTCCCAATGTTTTTTTTTTTAAATGAAAACAGGTCACAGACACTGATTTATGCCATAGAAACATATGGCAAGAAGATGGGGAGGCATGTAGCAAAAAATAACAAATATGTAGCCAAAAAAAAGGCCCTGAAAACAGGCTGATGTAAAAGACAGTCTTTACAGTTAATACAGTCTTTTGAACAAAGACAAGCATTTTACCCTACTGCTATAAAATGCAGTACAGTTAACATTAGATGTCAATTAACCAAGGTAATAATGAACAATTTTCAATCAATACATCAAAATCAATAGACCGACATCACTAGATGGAGGTAGTCTATGCTCTAGAAAGTTACTTTTCAGCCTCTTAACAAAAATGAGAACACACACACACCCACCCACACACACACACACACACACGATACCGACCTGTGGCGTACACAGACAGCAAGTGCCGTAGCAGATTCCATTTCACCTCAGTAATCTGTTTTCTCAGCGTATTTCAGGTTGCTACTAGTTACCAGACACTCAACTTGTTTGTTGGTGGTGGGGCTTAAAGAAAAGGCACTAGCGTCACCCAGTGTATGCGCGTCTTTTTTCCTTGAGGAGCTCCGCTCTTGAAGCCTATGAGAAATGCATACACTGGGGGAAAATAGCCCCGCCTTCTCGCAGGCTGCAGCGGGATGTACTTGGAAAATTGTACCATAAAACCACATAGCGTTAATCTCACGTTAAAAAAATTATCGCCGTTAAAATGGCCTCGCGTTAACGCGATAATAACGCGATAATTTTGACAGCACTAATATCTCAGGCTGATATAAAGCAATCCTAGTAGTGGTAAATAATATACATTTCTAGAAATTTTTTTATCTTTTTAACTAGAACAAGGTTTTAATATGAGGTAATAGAAACTTTCAGAGAAATAGTTAAGACCTCATCACATAGATTACAATAATCCAGTCTAATTTCATCGAGTAGCAATTTTTGAAATGCTTGAACATACTAGACCAGCATGGTCTGGTATGGTACTGAGTTAAAAAAATAAAAATAAAAAACAGAAAATCAATAAAGGTGTGCAATGGCAGAAGACATAAAAAGTTAATTTAGACAGTTATTCATACAGTTGTCCATAGAGTCATTTAGAATTTAATGTGCTGGGCACAAGGCCCCTGCTCATAGCTAATGTTGTAGTATGTTCTTGACAGATGATGCAAAAGATATGAAAGAGTGTTAACCCTAGATAAGGCTTTTATAAAACATATTTACCATTTTCTGTAAAAATCTTCGTTCTCTAGGTTAATGGAACATTTTTTTTTTTAGTAATGGTTACGATTGTGTTTGTGAAAAGATATTTCTTAAACATATTTTATGTATTTCTTTTTTTTTTAGGGGGTTGCTGTTTCAAACCAGAAACGAGCAAAGATGGAGTCAAGCTCTTTGAGATTGAAACAGTTCTTTCTTTGGAGATGAGGAAGCCCAAAAGCAAAGCTGACCCATCCTCCATTACTGAAGTAATACTTACTCTGAAATACAAAAACCTGAAACTTTGAGCACTGCAAAAATATTGCTCCCTCTTTTTTTCTTTACAGACTGTTTTGAATAGCTTCTTCAATACAAATGGCTATGATTCATTTCCTGATGCTGTAGTACCAAGTCAGATGAACAACAAAGTGACTGTGGCCAAGAAGTAAGGGACAAAATATTTTTGTACTTAATTTAGCTTGGAAATCCATGGCAACTCAAATGCTATTATGTTATGAGTTGAGTATCAATTAAAAATAAACTTTTTTTCTATTGTTCACTTATTCATAATAATTTTAGTAATTAATGAAAAATCTTCAATGAAAAATCAGACATACCTTTCCTATAGTTGTTGTCTAGGTTTTTTTTTATATGTTTTTACAGGTAAATATACAATTTATCTTTGGAAATCAGCTTCAACCTTTCAAGGTCATAGGCATACTTGCCTTTACCCTAATTGCTTTTTCATGTTTGAATTCAAGCTACATTATTTTGATTAAAAATGTTTTTATTAGAAATAAATCATTTAAAATAATTTCTTTCACCAGGACCTCCTAATTTAGGAAATTTATTAAACGGATCAAATAAACAACATTTTACATTTAATTTTCAAAAGATGTCCCAACGACAATATGCTCAAAAATAGATTTATTCTGATATGTCAAATTGTCAAATTTTCCAATCAGCCAGCTCTTTTGTTTCCTGTCTTTCATCACTGGACGAACAGATAAATTCAGGTGTGTGAGACATCGATCAGTTTGTCCAGTAATGAATGACAGGAAATAAAGTTGCTGCTTTCTAAGGGGATGGGTTAAATGCAGAGGAAAATTTCTCTGAAGTGAGATCAAAAACTTCAATTATTATTATAGATACCCTGTTTACTTGTTAGAGTAGACTTTTCTTTCCTTTTTGGATAGAGCTTGAACAGTTAGCATGTCAAACAAGAGAAATTGTTCATGGATCAGTGGTACTATGCATCTTTTGTGTGCTTCCATATTCTCTAACCCCAATTTGTTCTCGTCAGACAGACACACACACTAATATAATATAATATAATATAATATAATATAATATAATATAATATAATATAATATAATATAATATAATATAATATAGAATAGAATAGAATAGAATAGAATAGAATAGAATAGAATAGAATAGAAAATCCATTTATTGTCCCACAATAGGGATATTGTGGTGTTATCCTTGGTGTAAATCTTTGTTTGGCTGGAGTTTTTTTTTTTCTTTTTCTTTTTTTTAACCAGTTAAAATATTGCTTTTCTTCTTCAATGCCCTCCCTGCATGCTCAGTGTAAGTTAGATGGGCTCAGGTTATCCTGAGCTAGCTGTATGGTTATGCTGCTATAGGTTTAGAATGCTGGAGGACATACAGTAGAAACCCCTTTTTCGTCCGTCCATCCATCCATCCATCCATCCATCCTTCCATCTTCTTCAGCTTATCTGGGGTCGGGTCGCAGGGGTAGCAGCTTCAGTAGGGAGGCCCAGACGTCCCTCTCCCCAGCCACTTTGGCCAGCTCCTGTGTAGGAATCCCAAGGCTCTCCAGGCCAGCCGAGGAACATAGTTCCAGCGTGTCCTGGGTCTCCCCCTGGGCCTCCGTAGATCGGAACGTAGATCGACCGCTAAATCGAGAGCTTTCATGAACAAGACCCCAAGATACTTAAACTCCTCCACTGTAGATCCCGCCCTGATGGAGCCAATAGAACCACATTATCTGCGAATAACAAAGATGCGATCCTAAGGCCACCATAACAGATCCCCTCAACACCTTGGTTGCGCCTAGAAATTCTGTCCATAAAAGTTGTGAACAGAATCGGTGACAAAGGGCAACCTTGACGTCCAACCCTCACCGGAAACGAATCCGACTTACTGCCGGCAATGCGGACCAGGCTCTGACATCTAACAGCCCCTATTAAAGGGCCTGGTACTCCATACTCCCGGAGTACCCTCCACAGGACCCCCCGAGGGACACAGTCGAATGCCTTCTCCAGATCCACAAAACACATGTAGACTGGTTGGGCAAACTCCCATGCACCCTCCAGAATCCTGCTGAGGGTGTAGAGCTGATCCAGTGTTCAATGGCCGGACGAAAACCACACTGCTCCTCCTGAATCTGAGATTTGACTATCTGACGGACCCTCCTTTCCAGAACCCCGGAATAGACCTTACCATGGACGCTTAAGAGTGTGATTCCTCTGTAGTTGGAACACAACCTCCTGTCCCCTTTTTTAAATAGAGAGACCACCACCCCAGTCTGCCAATCAAGGGGAACTGCCCCTGATGTCCAAGCGATGTTGCAGAGCCGCGTTAACCAACACAGCCCCGCAACATCCAGAGCCCTAAGGTACTCAGGGCGAATCTCATCCAGCCTTGACACCTAGGAGCTTTTTAACCACCTCATTGACTTCAGCACCAGAGATGGGAGAACACAAGCCGTAGCCCCCAGGCTCTGCTTCCTCAATGGAAGACATGTTGGTGGGATTAAGGAGGTCTTCGAAGTACTCCGCCCATATGACATGTGACGTCCCGAGTCGAGGCCAGCAGCACACCACCCCCACTATAAATAGTGTTGGTACTGCATTACTTCCCACTCCTGAGATGCCGGATTGTGGACCAGAATCGTTTCGATGCCGATTTTCGTCATTCTACTTAATTCTATTTCTTGGTTATTCTTTAACTACGGGCACTATTGGCCTTGCAAACTTGAAGAGAAAAAGTATAATAAAATATAAATTCTCACAATGTAATCGGTTAGCATAACTAGTGTAGTTTGAAGATTCATAAGAAAACACACTGATTTTTAAAGACAAATTGGTGTTTTTTTAACAGATTTCCCAAATTGGCTGGCACAAATGTAATTTCCATCACATAAATATTTATCATTTATTTAAAAATACTATGATACACAGAGGGCCGGATTTATCAAGATCCAATTTTGCCTGCAGTAATTTGCGCTCGCAAACTGGAATTTTGCGCGAGGGGCTGAACCATGGTTTGCGGGTGATTTAACAAGAGTGATTGCGTAACTGGTGGCAGGCGCAAAACTGTTGGAGACGCCCTATTTAAATGATGGTTTTGCGCGTTTTGTGGTTTGCAGCAAAGTAGTTTGTAGTTTGTACAAACTAGTGCATTAAGAAATTTTAATCTTACAGTGACACCCCCACCCCCTCCAAAAAAAAAAAATAATAATAATATATATATATATATATATATATATATATATATATATATATATATATATATATATATATATATATATATATATATATATATATATATATATATCACTGATTCTTGAGAGTCAGGACAAAACACGTTTTAAATTTTTTTTTTCAAAAATACACACTATATCAATTAGAGTGATATGTTTCTGTAGAGAAAGGTCTTAGTTATTTAACTATGTAAACGAACACGTTCTACATAAAAACACATTTTTAACAAATAAACATGTTTCCCTTCAGAGCTAGATTTGTGTCAACTCCGTCAGACACACTAAAAAGTATACAATTTTAATTCTTCCAATCATACAAGAATCTAAAGTTCTGAAGTATACTATAATAATGTTTAATTACTATTAGTGCTGTCAATCGATTAAATTTTTTTAATCGCGATTAATCGCATCAATGCCTGAGTTAACTCGCGATTAATCGCATTTTAATCGCAAATTTTTTTTCTGACTGAAAATCATTTAAATACTCTCGATGACATACAAAAAATACATACAGGCTAGGTTTGTGCCAATGTTCTTTTTTTAAAATGAAAACAGGTCACAGACACTGATTTATGCCATAGAAACATATGGCAAGAAGATGGCATGTAGCAAAAAATAACAAATATGTAGCCAAAAAAAAGGCCCTGAAAACAGGCTGATGTAAAAGACAGTCTTTACAGTTAATACAGTCTTTTGAACAAAGACAAGCATTTTACCCTACTGCTATAAAATGCAGTACAGTTAACATTAGATGTCAATTAACCAAGGTAATAATGAACAATTTTCAATCAATACATCAAAATCAATAGACCGACATCACTAGATGGAGGTAGTCTATGCTCTAGAAAGTTTCTTTTCAGCCTCTTAACAAAAATGAGAACACACACACACCCACCCACCCACACACAGACACACCCACCCACACACACACACACACACACACGATACCGACCTGTTGCGTACACAGACAGCAAGATTGCCGTAGCAGATTCCATTTCACCTCAGTAATCTGTTTTCTCAGCGTATTTCAGGTCGCTACTAGTTACCAGACACTCAACTTGTTTGTTGGTGGTGGGGCTTAAAGAAAAGGCACTAGCGTCACCCAGTGTATGAGCGTCTTTTTTCCTTGAGAAGCTCCGCTCTCGAAGCCTATGAGAAATGCATAGACTGGGGGAAAATAGCCCCGCCTTCCCGCAGGCTGCAGCGGGATGTACTTGGAAAATTGTACCATAAAACCACATAGCGTTAATCTCACGTTAAAAAAATTATCGCCGTTAAAATGGCCTCGCGTTAACGCGATAATTTTGACAGCACTAATTACTATATGTAAAAAAAACATAATGTATAAACTTAAGTTGTGATTTCACACTATTTTTGAAAACTCAGATTTCTAAATATTTGCATTTTCAAACTTTAATTTTCATTTCAATATTGTAAAAACAAGGTCCTTAAATAAATAAAACATAAGAGGATGTAGATCAGATGGTCCTTTATTACAAAAACAACATAAACTGAAGGAATAATATTTTTTCTCCCAAAAAATTTACAAAAACATACATCCAACGCTGTTGACGGAGATCTGACGGTGTTGACGAAAAACTGACGGTGTTGACAAAAAATGCGTGCATTGCTGATTGAATGAACAGATTTGCTCTTTGACCACTACTACTAAAACTACTCCTTGTTAATAGAGAATTTAACTTACTGTAAAGCAAACTATAATAAACATATTGCACATACAACGTTTCTAACTATTATAAATTACACCGTTTCCAACCATCAAAAAAAAAAGAAGGAAAACAAGGGGCCCTCCTTCCCCTCTATTTTCATCTGCCTCCCCTATAACACTTTCTTCTCTTCATCTTCTCATCCACCTGGTCTTCTCTTCCTTTCCTCCTTTGTAAGTAGACATTTACTTTAAAGTGGTGTGTGTGTGT